GAATAGTGGGATTGACCATCACATTACAACGCCCCCCCCCCCCGCGGCTGAAAGAGCGAGCATGTTTGGTGTGATGGGGATTCGAACCCGCGACCTTCAGATTGCGAGTCGAGCTCCCTAATCACCTGGTCATATGTGAGAAAGGAATTCTAACGGTTAGAATAGGGACAGAGAAACAGTGAAGTGGCTACTTTTCTAACCATCATTCTACCATAGAGTCTTGTATGATATTTTATCTTTAAAAATGAATAAATTGAGAACTGAAGCTTATAACACTGACATTGTCGATTCCTCATCTTAGTTTGCTAAAACATAAGCGCAGTGAACTGAATTACGAGTTCGAATCCCGCTTCGACCTCAATTTATACTTTTCAGAAAAAGTCTAAATCATAGGATCCGCTTCCCCATGCGGCGGAGCAGTAAGTCTGAGGTATTATAACGTTAAAATTGGGCTTCTGTGTCCGCGTTGGGCAGAGCACAGATATGCCAATTATGTAGATTTGCGCTTAAATAGCAACGAACGTAGAATGGTGTATTGGCCTTAATAGATATATATTTAGTTCATATATATAGATGTCACGTTCACCTATGGCGGGCAGACAAAATGGCGATATGCTTGATTTGCCAAACACGGAGAGATTCCATTTCAGATTAGAGAGAAAACTTATACTTAAACCGTTAAAGACAGAAGCATAAGGAATAACGTTGTGTATATTTTTATGCGAACTTACTTAAGCGCTAAGTTGTAATGCAATATTTGTCTTTCAATGTTTCATTTTGTAAAGTAAAATCTTGGAACTCGCAAAACTAAATAATTAAATTCGCTAAGTTACCTGATTTACAAAATTTACAATATATTATTAGTATTACTCATTAATATTAGTAAGTCAGTAGTATTTAGTAACTCGGTAGGCCTATTATATTACAAGCACCGGAGTGGAAGATGTGGACAGTTCAGCACTGTAGTCTGTAGTGCTACTGCTAATGACAGTGATGGGTTAACGTTAGGCTTTCTTACAATGTCTGCTTAAAGTTAAAAGTAAAACTTAAAATTAAATATAATTTGTAATACAATTACGAGGTACGACTACTCAGAGTACTGGTAGTTTAGCCAAAGGTCAAATACATAGAGTAAGAGTAGAATTTTAAATTTAAGAGAAAATGCCAGTTTCTCATCATAACCTTAGTCGTGAAAGCAGCAAATCAAATTTGAATGTTAGTGGAAATTCAAATGTCAGTAATACCAGTAGTAATGCCAATGGAATATCTGAGGGAATGTCTTTGGGAAACACATCAGCGGCACTTGTTTATAAACTTTGCAGTCATATAACTGGACTGACTTCAGGTAAATTTGAATGTTGTCTGCATTACATTATCTAAACAGAATAGTTTATAAATAATTTGTTAATTATAATTACTAGGATCTTCTAACTCTCAGCTTTCATCATATTAGCATGTATCTATTAGTAATCAACACAATAAATTATTTTAAAAATCTTAAACACCTCAATCAGATCCCCTCTAACCTTTTTTTTTTTCAAGAGAAAACAATTTCAAAGATCTTAACCTTTCCTCGTGTGACAACCTTTCCATCCAGGGTATCATTCCAGTGGCCGTCCTCTGAACCCTTTCCAAAAGTTCAATGTCCATCCTAATGTAAAGAGCCTAAGACTGAACACAATATTCCAAATGTGGCCTAACCAGTGACCTATACAATGAAATTATAACTTCTTTAGACTTGTACTCAATATTTCTGTAGATACAACCTTTAATCCTATTTGACTTCCACTAGCAACAGCACACTATTTCCTTCATAACACT